TTTTTGATAAATTCAATTTCCAATATAGGTTGATGCTCACAACAAACAACACGAGCTTAAATTCTCAGAGCACGCGAGCAGGGGACACCCTATACTTGCATTGTAGATAGAGAAGAAAATAATTACCTTATAACATTAATTATGAGAATTAACTAACTAATCAAAAATCAAACCGAACTTGAGTTAAATTTTTAAAGCATGAGTTCGTAACCTTTTATCATTTGATTTACGGTTATCTAATTCTGTTGCCTAAGCATCCTGAGTCCTTCTATTATAATACCTTCGGGACATTTTTATTACAAAAGAATTATCAAGTAATGATGACTATTAATAACAGTAGCAAATAGAACTTAGCAGAAGTCTACCATTCCTTAAGGTTAGTAAAATTGGAGTAAATTTTGCTACATTATAATTTTAGAATAAATGTAAAAATTTGAAATCTCAGTTTATCTCCCCACATATTTGATAATTTAATTTTCAATTACTTAGCATAAAAAACCAATCGAGTTTGATCCCCATTTTTCTATTTCGATTCCCCATTATCAGTTTGATTTCAGAAAACTTTACATTGAATTGGATTTTTTTCTATTCCAGTAAATATTGTTTCCTCACTCTTGGACATTGCCTGCCAATATTTTGCAATGGGAACTAAGTAAGTTGGGCCCAACTTTAAGCTTTTTTTTTTCTTTTTTGTTGGATTTAAGTTTATAATATATTTCAATTTCTTATTTCAGATTTGATTTTTTTTGGAGTCAATGGATAGGATGTGGTTTTTAATAGAATTTATATATATACATATATATATAAAAATTGCAAAGAAAGGGATTTGAGTGCATAATAAACAAAGCTTTTGGACTTGATTGAACATTCTTTAAAGGTTGAGGGACTGTATTGGGAGAAGAAAAATCACTTTCAGGGATCCAAGTGAATGAGTATGAAGTAATAGGATTAAATTGTTCACTGTATTTTATCATTAAAAAAATTGCAAAGAGATCCAAAAACCCAACACGGGTTTGGTGTCGACGCTATCTGTTACGTGTGGACACTATTCCTTAAGCCTTTGGAAAATAAATGGGGTGTAGGATTAAATAAACAAGAGTGCCGATACCCACGTTGTAGTGTCGACATATAAAGCATTTTTAGTTTTCAAAATTTTCATTTTTGTTAAATGTCTAAGTTTTCCTAATGGGATTTTCTTAAATTTTATAAGATATTCAGTTAAAATCAGAGTCCAAAGATTTTGTAAATCAAGAAAGTGATAGCGATGAGAAATCTAACCTAAATAAGTTAAAATTTGAGATTTTAAATTA